CCCCAGCAGCTGTGCTATCCCATGTCCGAGAACATGGCCCAAGCTCCCAGGTGGATTCGTGAAACGGACCTGGTGGTCTGTGACCCGTTCGGTGAGCGGACAGGGGGCTTGGTCAAGTGGCCGAGGCCCCAGGTCGAGCACCTAGGGTCTGCCGAGCACTTCGGATGTGAGGGACACTTTTCCTGTCTCCTTCTGCCATCCTGAACACCTCTGTGAGGTGGGACCAGCAGTGCTGGCCCCGCTTTGCAGGCAAGCACCGGGAGGCTCCAGACGGCGGTGTGACAGGCCCAGGAAACGGGCCAGGGCTTGCCCTTGGGTGGTGTGGCCCGAGCTTTCTCCCTGATAGCACGGCACAGAGGCTACATCCGGGACCCGCTGGCAGACGGCACGGCTTTGGCTCCTGACCCTGTGACTGTGCCCCTGCCCCGCCATCTGGCCTTCGGAGGCTGACCTCTTTCTGCCTCTGCCAAGTGCAGGCAATGAGAAACTGCCCCCTGGGCTGTCGTGGGGGTCGGGCTAGCTGTTCCATAAGCTGATGCAACGGCGCACGACGTCTGGCATCCAGCATGGCCTCCAGGCGGCTGGCCGTCAGCCACGCGGTCATCACTGGGGACCAAGCAGCCTCCTCCGCGGGGGCGGCCGCATCTCCCTTTCCTGCTATTTCCTCGTGGTGGAGGTGATGATGGTGGACGAGGGTGTCACCGGTGGGGGGGGGGGGGAGGGGCGATGTGGATAAACAGCACGGGTCTCCAGAACCCGTGTGCCGGCCCGCTCGTGTCCTGAGCACCCACACTGTCCTCGGACGCCCTTCACGGGCCCCCGTGCTCCCTGACGGCCGCCCAGGGGCCAGCGCCCAACTCCACACGCTGCGAAGGCCTGCCCTGTCCTGTGCCGGTTTCCGTGGGAAAACTGGGGAGGGCACCGCGCGGGGCTCGGAGGGAAGGAGGAAAGGACAGGAAGATACCTTCTGCTGAGCCGCAAGCTTCCGACACACGACAGCGGAGAGGCTTGAGGAGTGTCCCTGTTCAACCTCTCGTCTGCTGGGGGCCCCCCCCCCCCCCCGCTCAACTTGTGGCCTCAGGACGAGAAACGGAGCGTGGGCTTTGGCGAGTTTAAGTGGGGCCCGAGGAGCCGTGGTTTCGTTTGTCCCCGGGGCCTCTGTCCGGATGACCGTTCCCGCCACCACCCAGCCGGGCTCTGCTCATTAACCCGGTCACACCGGCCTGATAAAGTCGGACGAGAGCGAGGGCGGGGCTGAGCCGCAGGAGCGGGTGCCGGGAGGGGGGAAGATTCTGGGCCTCGCTAATTGGGGTTCTCTGCTCCTCTCGATCAGGCTCTGCTCTTTGTCTGAGCAGACAAGATAAGAAGGAAGCTGGGCTTTTCTAACAAGCGCGCCTGGCGGGGCCACGTGGTCATTTCCGAGCGGCCAGCGTCAGCCAGAGCCCCGTCGGTGAGGCGGTGCGACCGCCCCGCTCGGAAACCATCGGGCGTGCTGTAGCTGGGACAGCAGGAGGCCACCCTGAGCCCCGCTGAAATCCGCCTGCGGAAGGCCTCGGGGTCGGGTTGCAGCCCCCGGAGAGATTCTCCTTCTGAGCGGCTGACCGTCTGGCTGGTCGGAACGAGCACATTCTGGCCGCCGGTCACTGCCCAAAGCGACGGCCGCCTCCAGACAAGCAGGGAGGCATCAGCACGCGGGGCCGGCGAGTGCCTGCGTTACAGGCCGCGGAAATCGTAAAAATCAAAGCAAACGACAGCGCGTTTGCGTGCCTTTGTGTCTTTCCACCAGAGGGACGTGGAAAAACAAATAAGGATTCATCGGCACTTGTCTTCTTTTTTGAAAAGAAATAGTATCCCTCCCCCGCTTCCCCCCCCCGCCCCCCGGCGCTTCCCCCCCCAGAACGCCACTCAGTGAATTTGCGAGTTAAAGCAAGGAGAAGCTTACTTTAAAATCTTAAAGGCCCCACATATCAGGTACTCCAGACCGAAAATAATTTGCGGTGCTGATACGGATTTTCTCCCTATCTGAATATACCAAGTATTATATGTTATATTGACGTCCAGGCTAAATCTTTCCCTTATAAGGGGTTTGACATAAATAGCTTTTATTATGTAACTCTTAAATACAAGGGATACAACACATTTCTTAAAGGTCCCAGCTGCTATTGTTACTGTTCGAGACACAAAATTGGAATCCCAACTTCCAATATCAAGTTTTAGCGCAAACCCTATAAAATCTATCTTGTCAGAATGTGCCAGAACCTCTAAGCCCTTCTCAGCTGAACAAATCGCAGCTGCTGCTCTACCCTCGAGGTAGAGCCTCGACTTTGCGTGTGGCGCCTTCACAGCAAACCGGTCCCGGTTTTCGCCCTGCCGCCGGGGGCTGGCCGGGGGGAAGGCGTAGGTTTAGATTAGCCGTGTCCTACGCCGCTTGACAGGGTGACACGGGTCTGCAGGGCTGAGCCCGGGGCCTGGAGATAGGACCAGCCGGCAGGAATGCAGGGAATGTTTTTCTTCGGACTCTATCGAGGCACACAGACCATGGGGATTCTGTCTGTGGTGACAGCCTTAACATTTACCAGAGCCTGGGACGCCGCTGTAGAAATGGCATTGCCCACCCCGAAAGTGAGAAGGTAACGTTTATTTTTGTATTTTTTTCCTCTCTCTCCCATATACAGACTGTAGAAAGACCACCAAGCGTGGGCCATTTTTTTTTTCCACCATGATGTACAATTCACATTTGTTAATCAAAAAAAGTACCCGGGGTCATCCACCTAGCCTTTTTTTTTTTTTTTTTTTTTTCTTCTTCTTCTTCTTCAACAGGAAACGGGTTTCAGATGTTTATATGTTAAAAAGTAAGGCTACTAATCTGTTTAGCCATTTACCAGATCCTGGCGAACTCCCTCCTACATTTTAATGTTCAGACTCCATAGAATGACGTTCGTTTTATCCCGCTTGGAACTGAGAATGAAAAAACAAAATTGTTCACTAGTCACCTGCTTTTTTGGGACGGTTCCAGGAGAGGTTAGAATAAATGAATCTGGTCGTCTGGTGAAACCGTGCTTGGGGTGGCAATGGCCAACGTGGTGTTCGCGTTTGGAAAGTCAACTTTCTCAGGCAGTTCTTTACAACAGACCGCGGTCCCATGCATTTTCGTGTATCTGTGGAGACATCCTATTTAGACTCAGGACAGAGGTTTACAAAGACACACAGTTAGGAAATCTGCAGCAAAGGCAAAAGCTGCTCTTTTCAAACACGGGATCTTTTTCTTCGAACCGGCACGACATTTTCCACGGAGCGTCTCGAGACTAGGCTGTAAATGGTAACAGAGAAAAACCATTTTCCCAGGGAGTCCACGGTCACTTGCGAGGATTTCGGCCTGATGTTTAGAAACCAAGATTTTTGTTTTATTGCTGGGATTTTCTCTTTCTGGCCCCAGGGCCGATCACTTCAAACAGTCTCGCTGCTGGTGAAAACGTGGCCGTTTAGTGCGGCAAAATGACGATACTTCTCTGCGGTGGGAGGTTCATGTATTTACAGTCCGGGAGAAAGGAGCACAAACGGGGGAAGTTTGACTGCTTTTTTGGTGAATTTGTTAGCGTGCGAATCACTGGCTGAAAAGGCTGTTTTAAATGTAGGACTCAAAACAGAAGGAATTGTATCATTTGTGAAACCTGGGTCTGACGGCCCCTACTCTTTATCCGTCTGTGTTTGACCCGATGTTTTCCGTCTGCAGATTGTATAAGGAGGAAAAGTGTGGCTTCTGCAGACGTTTTTGTCAGGGAGAGAGAAATAGGAAATTGAAATGAGCTCTTGAAAGCAGCCCAGTGTCCCTGAATCGGCGAGAAGGGTGTTTGTAAAAATTAAAACAGAGGCAAAGAATCATTCCCAACTCCTTTGCGAGCATCCTTGCCTGCCTCCACCCCAATGTATACATTGATATAACATTCTATGAGGCAAAAATACAGGTGTTTTCTTTTTCACCAGACTTATCGGAAGTGGCTGCAGAGAAGAGGAGTAGAAGTGTAAAAATAGACGCGTAATCAATGTCCAGGCTCCTTTCAATGAGGATGGGAGGGATCGGATTAAACACAAAATACGTCTTTTTTTTGGCAAACAAAAAAGCCATTTTGATTGCTTGGGGCATGTTTTAATCACGGCTGCTCCAGGATGGGTGTTAGGACCTCCTGGCACGAACCCAGGGACAAACACTAACAATCGCGCCGGCACTGAATGTGAGCAGAAATCGAGGAAAGCGGCAGAACCTTCTGTCGAGTGGGTCCCTCAAAGTGTAAGCACCCTAGCCGAGGCTGGTCCACGCAGAGCAAACCCCCACCAACCCCGGCTCGCTCTCCAGAATGCGCCTGCCATACCCAAGGTCCCGGAATCTCGCCCAAGAAAAGAACAGCTTCAGGGGCCCTTTGGCAAAGCACCGGGGGGCTGAAAAGGGCAGGGAGGAAGCCTGTGACGACATCTACGCAGCGTCCAAGAGGCCAAAGAGCCAACGGACAGAAGAAGACATTACTCTGATGAGGGGGCACAGACTCCGTGCCGGGAAATTTCCCGCGTGGGGCAGGACGCAGGGCATGGGGTTGGGGCTTCCTAGGCCGGCCTGTGTGACCATCACAGGAGACGACCCACTTTGGCTCAGTAGTTTTTTTTTTTTTTTTTTTTTTGACCGTCTCTCTGGGCCCTGGATCGCCAGGAACAGAGAAATGCCAAAGTCTGCAAATGCAGGGCAATCGCCGTGTCAGCTGAGCTGAGCTATTTCCCAAACGAACACCTGGACGATGTAAATCACCCCAGCGGTAAACACTTCAGGCCGGCGCAGGCCGCGGGCTGGCGGGCGGCACCCTCCCACCCGGCCGGGGTCCATAAACCAGGCGCTGGCCCGCAATCACAAACGTCCCTCTCACCGAGAAAGACCCCTCCCGGGATGGGAGCAGAGCCCCTTCGCAGAGGCCACGCAGATAACCGACTGCCCTCGCCGCTGGCCGGCTTACCCTGGGCTGGTATCTGGAGCACAGTCAGAGGTCTGTGTCGTTACGGAGGGCCAGGCCCACGGGCGTCAAGGTGGCTATTTTCAAAGGCAGTGTGCAAAGGTAAAACCTAAAAAACAAACAAACAAAAGTCTTGTGTTTTAAACCTTGACAATAAAATCTGAATCATAGCCACAGTAATAACCGAAACGTCTCTGTGGAGGGTCCCCACAGTTAGTAGAAATCCAAGTGTTCTTCCCTCCTTTAAAACATAGTGAATTAAGAGGTTAAATCTTCTCCGTGCCACCCTGGAATCCCCGACCCTTGACGGATGACCCTGCATCTGGTGTAAGCGATGGTTATAAAGATCCCTGAATGGGGAGAAGCGGACGGCGGAGGACAGAATACATCGCCCGAAAGGTCACCTCCTTACATTCTGATGCTCTCCTTTAAGAAGAGAAATCTCTCCTTATAATTATCTGCTTAGGGGGAGTCTTTTAAACGACATGTTCCTCCGTCAACGGCACAGTTGTCCGCTTTGTAAAAGCGGCCTGGGGCGTAGGCTCTTTATGGCTCTGTTCCTTTCTCCCCACGGCCCGGAACCAGAGACGCGGAGGGAACCCGAGAGCAGTTCCCCTGCCTCTGGGATCAACTTTGCACCAAAGAAAAATAACCCGGAGAAATTATTCCTCAGCCAGGAACGAAGGAAGCCAGGATCAGATGGTTGCTGATCAGAGCAAATATTTAAACTGGATAAGTCAAGTCGAGCATTATTAAATAAAGCTTGTTTAATATGTCTCAAACAGAAAATGTCTTTTGAGGAGGGTTTTAGACGTGGGACTAGAAATCTGGCTGGGTGCATGTCTTGAGGCTTAATTGGTGTGCCCGGGATTTGTGTTCTTCAGACAGAAGCACGCTGTTCCTCCACGAATTGGTGTCCCCACCCCCCTCCCCTGCCCGCCGCCCGGTCGTCCTAAAACGAAAGCAGGAAAGGTTTTAGGTAGCTGTTGAAACGGTTAATGCAACACAATGCGCGTGAGGCCGCTGGCCCACGTTTTCACGTGGATGCATCAGACAAAGTGTAGCCTGGCCACCTTGGTGACGGGGGTGACGGGCCACGGGCGAGATCACCCGTGTGCACAGCCACGTTTTCCCACCACGGTGCAGCGGGCAGCCGCTGACCCGTGCTCCCGCCAAACCTAAAACCACTCTCTGATGGGTTTTACACGATTTACGTTTTTCTGATGTATTTAGAGGACGCCAGATGTCTACGTTCAAATGAAAAAAAAAAAATCATTGGGAATATAAGATCCCGCCCCTTCCCCACATTTGCTCGCTCATGACAGACGCCAGGTCTGTGTGCGTGTGCCGGCCAATTCAGAGCCGGGTCGGGGGTCTCCGCAGAGGGTCGGGAGGGGAGTTGGGTGTGTGTGACCACGGGCGCGTCTTTCTCTCCGGGCCACGTTTTCTCCTTCTGTAAGAAGGGTGGGGGCTGGTGACGCGCTGAGGCTCGTCCCCCTCGCTGAGAGTCTTTGCACTTCTCAGCGACCACTGTCTAGCTCGTTAAAGTCTCCAGACCCGCGGGAAGGAACACCCAGAACCAGCTCGAAGCCGGACCTCAGAGAGCAGGCTGAGTCCCTCCCGTGCGCCTGGGCAGGGGAGTTACGCCTTGTCTTTCTTCCCTCACCCCCAAAGTGATCTTTATATTCACTTAAGGGTTTTCGTTGTCAATGGACTAGACACGGATCGGACGGGGCACCCGGGACCCACAGCCCCCGTCTGATTCATCTGCCTGAGATGCAGTCACGTGCATCGTCAGACCCTATGGATTCCCTTCCTAAAAACCCCATGTCGCCCAGGGCCCTTCCTCAGGAAATCTGATTCCCTTTATCCCCAACACGGACAGACGGGCCGTCTACTTTTCGGCTCAGACCCACGGCCTGACCCTTCCCGTTAAGTCACCCTGGGCAGCAGCGTAGGCGGTGAGGGAAAACGTCCGGCAATGCGGCAGCAAAGCCTTGGTGCGGAGACCGTGGGAGCGGTCCGGCACCCCCGGCTGCCGTGCCTGTTCCCGGACAGGTGCCGCTGCCCCCTTCTTAGCGGACACCTGTGCATGCTGCCCGCAGGGACGGTGGCCCCGGCGACGGCCACGGAGCCTCAGGGCAGGACGGCGGGCAGCCCGACAGCGGCTTCTGTGCTCAGCTTTCCGGAGCCCTCGTCAGGCCAGAGGGGACGGGACAGCTGGGAATGCGTTGGTGGGGAGGTGCTCAGAGGGTGGCCTGGACTCTGGGTGGACGGGCAGGGGCCCAGGGGACCGAGGCCAGCGTTGGAGCAGGGCTGCTGTGGAAGAACCCCACGTGCCACTCCGGTTGGGTCAGTGAGAGCGGCTGGGGAGCCTGGCCGTCGCTCCCAGCAGGGCAGAGGCAGCCCCTCCACCCCCTGAGCGTCAAAGCAGGAAGCCCGGGGGTCTGGAGAGGCACCATCTGCAAGACTGGACGTGTGACCGGCCTGGGACACGGCGGGGGGAGGGGGTGATGGATGGGCCGGGCGGGAGAGGAGAAGAAAGCTGTGGGGTCAGGGACGTGTGGTGAGGAGCAGAAGGAGGAAAGTCCACTAGGGGCAGGGGGACCCCGCATCACCCTCCCCTTCACCGTCTGGCAGCAGCTCGTCCCCTGCTGCTCCCACCCTAAGCCTCCCACCCCGCCCCCTGGCGGCTCTCAACCCTGACTGTCCCTGATGGTCCCCCAGAAAGCTTTGACGGTGCGGAAGCCTGGCACCACCCCCAGAGATCGGGGAGGCCTTAGGCTGGGCGGGGGTCCCCACCAATGTTTTTACTGGCTCCCAGGGGTTCCGTGAACAGTCAGGGACTGAGACCGCTGTCCTGACCCTAAACTTCCAGGTGCAGACTTCTTCTGTGAGCTTCCTCTTGTCTAACTGGACACGGCAGAGGCTTGGCTGTTGGTAACTCGCGCACTGGAGACGCTGTGTGCATGGTGGGCCAGCCCTGGTCCGGGGATGCAGCATCGGTAAGGATGCCCGTGGCGTGCACACCGGGCTGGGCATCTGGGCGACCCCTCGTTAACTTGCACACCCCGCTCCTGGCCCAGGGCCTAGCGTCCAAACTGAAAGAACAGACAGGTTCTGAGCCCAGAGTGGGACTTCCACAAAGCTCTCTCGAATCTTCGCGTGGCTCCCTCTTCCTTGGTAAAGGTAGCAGGACAAAATAAAAACAAAATTTTAAATTCTTCTGGGAAAAAAAAAAAAGCAAATCTTGATGAACTGGAACGTACAGCCCAGTTACCTGTGCTAAGTAACCCTCATGTTCCGTTGGCCCCTTGTAAATCGCAAGCCTCCTTCATGAGACTTCACGTAGAGTATCGAGAAGTCCAGACACCGTCGGGGAGCCTCACGCGGCCTCATTCATGGCAACACCCTATGGGGCGCGTGTTACTTTGTGCCCATTTCGCAGATGGGGTAAGTGGAGGTGACTGCCCTGAAGCACACAGGTAGTTTGTGCCAGAGCTGGGGTGGGAACCCCGTCGGCAGTGCGGGGAAGAGAGGCGGGCGCCGCAGCCGAAGATGGAATGTTATCTCGGAGAACCCCTCGGACGGTGTCAAAGCAGCAGGTTGGCCCCACCAGCTCTGCTCCTCTCCGTGGGGCGCTCTTGCCTCTGAGGGCCTCCGTTCGCTGCCCCACAAGGTGGGGCTCAGCTGGGGTGGCCCCGCACACGCGCAGCCTGCCCTCCACAGGCAGGAACGCGCGACCACCTTCCTCCTCCGTTGGGCCTCCCGTGGGGCTGGTGACGGGCTGGGGTCTGTTTGTTCTCAGGGAAGGAAGAACCCTTTCTAGAAATGCCAAGCCTCTCTTTGCCGAGACAAACCTCGGGGCTTGACACAGAAAGAGAGTGAGGCAGGCTCGGGAAGGAGGCAGGAGCTCTGGCTGGCCCATCGGACCCCCCGCCCCTCTGACACGGCTCCGGCCTCCGTGCGAGTGGTGGGAGGGCACGCGGCCCCTCCCTACGAGGAGATGGGAGCCAGCCCTGTCCCTGCTTCTCCATGAGGCTGTGGCTTCTGCAGAGCCAGGGCCCGGCCAAACTGCCTCCCGCAGCCTCTGACCCCAGAGGCCAGGCCTCCCCTCTACTCGGTAGGCCCAGGAGCCTCCCCTATGCCCTCTAAGCCCTGCCCACCTGACCTCAGCTCTGGGACCCCCCCTCCCATCTCCAGGCTGTAAAAGGGGGCTCCTCCTGCCTCTGAAGTGTGGCTGTGAGAATTACGTGAGGCAATGATCCATGCTTGTAAAGGGCCAGCCCAGAGCCTTCCAGAACCTTCCGCAGAGTCACAACAATAAGAAACAAACAGCCCAAATGGGGCACCGGCCCAGAAATAGCTCATCCTGGCACCAACCAGAGGAGGTAGGGACCACCTAGGACGCATTTTTCAGATGCAAATACTGAGGCACGGAGCAGTTAGGAGTTTACCCACACGTGGAGCGGACATTGGAACCCAGGCGGTCTGGCTGAGGGCCGTCAGCCTCTATAGTCTCTCCATACACTTGACAGATGGGAGCTAAGATTATTACTGGGGGGGGGGGGGGAGGTTGATCATTATTTGGTTTTTAAAACACTTTTAATTTGGGGATCATTACACACACACACACACAGTTGTAAGGAATAATTTGGGAAGATCCCTGTATACCTTCCGGCCAGTTTCCCTCAGTGGTGACGCCCTGCATAGCTTCGGCATGAGGTCACAACCGGGATGTGACATCAGCGCAGCCGACCGTGTTATTCAGGCCAAAGGGGAGCAGGGCTCCCAGGAAAGTGAGGCGTCTGCTCAGACCCCATGGCCCTCCACTCGGTACCCCTCGCCCTGCCCTCCTTTTTCCCTTAACATGACCTGACGCTTGCGGGTCTGGTTACTCTCCCCCAGAGACGCAAGTTGCGGGAGGTCAGAGATTTGCCCGTGGCGTTCGCTGCCGTATCCCCTGCGTGGAGAACAGGGCCTGTCACGTCCGGCCTTAGTACATAGTTTTGAACAGATGGGTGAGTGAATGATGCTTCCTCACGGGGCCACATGAGCTCCCTTTTAAAAACACCTATAAACTGGGCTCAGTACTCCCGACCTGCAGGG